GACTTACCCTATAACCTCACCGAACTTCATATCTAACAAAGAGTACTTTAATTTTCCTAGGACAACAAATCAAATGGTATAGTAACAGTCACATACCCTAATGTTCCCCCTGTCAACAGACAATTTGAACCAAATTCTCTTCAAACCAGCAAAAACCATCACATGCACATGAACTCCGTATGCCAAAACTTCCCTCAACAGAGCAGGCCTCATGTTCGAACACATCTCAAGTCCATGCATTCTCTAAATTCAACACAACTATAATGCATCCAAGCAAATAGAACACCATACCCTACGATTCTTGAACTAACCAATTAGATGGCGATTTTTCATTATAACGGGTCTCAACTGAAACAACCAAACCAAACAGATGATGACAAATTATCCATGTCACTACTGATAACGCCATTTAACAATACATTAAGTTAAAACCAAAAAAAAAAATAAAGTCCATTTTTTCAAGATACTGCATTCCCCACCAGACTAAATAAAAAATAAACACAGAAGAATATTCACCACCTCACCCAAACCAATTAAAATCACTCGCACGCAGGCTTAGTGTCAAAGCTGCTCAAACAGATCGAAAATGCCTGAAAAGCCGAGAGCGGATACCTGTAATCCATAGTAAACATGTCCTTCCCAATCTTCCCAAACTGCAATATCACCTTCTCCTGTTCGCCGCCAGCTGGCTCCACCTCAGCCACGAGCTGGAAATTCTTGACAGAGGCCACAGTCACGCGGCCCTTGAAGTTAAGGCACCAGCACTGCAGCTGCTCGTGCCATCTGGGGGCTTTGTTACGAAGCACGAGCCCCACAGAGAAGTCAGAAGGGGTAGGGATCCAGTGCATTGCGCAGCGCATGCGGCGGGGCCCGCGCGTGCGGAGTACGTTGAGTTCGTAGCAAACTGTTGCCACTGCGTAATTGTAGGCAGGTAGTTTGGGGGAGACTTGGCTGGCGCTGAACCTTCGGGAATGGCGGAAGGCGGCGGCTGGGGAGTCGGGGTTTGGGGGATGGCTGTCGTATATGGTGAATTTTGTTCCGAGGAAATTTGACCTGATTATTGACCGAAAAAAAGTGAATTTTTTTAGAAAAAAAAAAGAAGGAAATTTTTGAATGAGAATGATGAGAGGATTTATTTATTTATTTATTGCCTGAGTTTTCCGACAAAAGTGTTGCTGGCACGAGAGAAGTCGTCGGCGACGAGAGAAATGATGAAATCGGTGCTTGTGGGCCGTCGGATGCGCTTGGCGGCGAGTAATAGTTTGTCGTTTTCGTCCTCCGCTGCGAATTAGATTCGAAAAGTTTTGAGTGGTGTGTATGCCTTCATGTATGTCATAAAGTTACTGCTCTTTCGGAATTCTTAACATAAAACTCTCTATTTATGCTTTTTCAGATTAGTAGAATTAAACAGAAATTCCATGAATTGGAGAGAGAAAAAAGGGGAAAAAATTAATATGTTGATTAAAAAAGCTATATTGACAAGGCATGCATTATCTACTGTTAAGTGTCGATAGAACTCGGAACAAGTAAAAAAGAACACCACCCAGTGATCAGTCCAGGTGTCTGCATGTACAGCACACGACGAACCCCAAGGACTAGTTTTCCTAGCGAATTGATTCTTTTGATTTTTCTTTTTATATCAAGTTTGATAAGTTTCGCCTCTATGTGTCATGAGATAATTGGATGGGCACCCTAAATTAGAAGGTTAAAGTTGAATGCTAAGAGTATAATGAAGTAATAAACATTTGTGGGCTATTGGAGGACTTATACTAGTTCAAGCCCTGCACCTCTTCACTTCTTCTATCTTTGCAAAACATGAATTTTAACTCATGTTGCAATTATATCCTAGTTTCAGAAGTAATATCAGAAATAAATTGGAGTTATATATCACATTTGACAAATATACCAGTCAGTGCACTTAATACTCAGCAGATCAGTCATCAATTTATATCCATAAGGTTAAGTTCGTGAGAAGAAATATCTGATAAGACTTAAGAGACCATGATATCATTTTTGGATATCCTTTTTACCTTTTTTCCTGAGTCATATTTTAGGTATAACTAAAAATATTTTCTTGAATGCTGCCTAATAACATACTCCAAACGCCATTTATATTCCATTTTACTTTTATGAAGACAACAAAATAACTCAAGTTCACAAGTATTTACGACACCGAAGACTCCAACTGCCCATGACTAATGATTGGCTCAATGTCTAACAACCTAAGATGAAGACAATCAAACACCAGTAATTATAAGCATCCTTAGAAACAATAATGCTAAGGAGCCAACAGTTGGCTCCTTAGCATTACTGTCCTTAGAAAAGAGAGCTAATAACACAAGGACATGGTCATTTAAAGCATGTACTCAAACAAACCCACATAACTATCTATTCTAGTTGAAAACGCCACTTCTAAAATTACTTTAACCTTCCCAAGAAATGATTACTTACATGGAACGAGTCCAAAGTACAGGCGGTATATAGAGGTTGCCCTATCCCTCTTGATAAAGCACTGGATAGGAGAATCCCGAGGCCCAGGCTAGCAACCAAAAGATAAAAGACATAAGCCAAACCAGAAATAATCATCCGAAGACCCTAATAATAATAAACAAAACTCACCTGCTTTAAAGAAATGGGAAATGTGAGCCTCCCACATTCCTCGGGAGTTTTAACTATTTCTTTGGTAATATCCCTCCATGACCTACAAACTGACGCGCAAAAGACAACCACTGTTCTGGCAGGCCAAGCTGTTTCACTTTCTTCCACTCTTCGAATTATGTCCAAAAGCAACTCAGGTGGCAAATTTGCCCACTGCCCTTGCTCGATTGGCTGACAGGGAGCAACATCAGGAGCTACAAATGACTTTGTTCTGCTTCTCCAGTGTTTTCCTTCAAACCCTCTTCGGGAAATGCTCCCGATACCATCTTTCATTTCCTTCAGCTCACGCACGATGCTTTTGAAAGACATCTCATCACTGGATCAGAAACAAGAAAAAAGTGGACTTTTTTTTTTTTGTTATTTCATTTATCAGAAGGGAAGTAGAATCTAATGAGACACTTTCTCATCTACACAAAATTGATTTGGTTGGCAGATCCAACAGTTTCATTATCAAAGTCTGACTCTTTACACAGAAAAACTACTACAGAGGAAAAAAATTAGAGATAAAATGATGCAACATTGGATGAACAATCCAGTAAACTGAAAATTAAAACTATATTCAACTGATTTTATTAAGTTATGAGTCAAACTGTAGTTGAAGTTCTTGAGATTCAACATGTAGAAATGCTGAATCAATGAAAGAAATGCATCTCCTTTAAGATGTAATATTTTGTAAACATTAAACAGCAAGGCCAAAATTTTAATCCACGATTTGAAAACTTAATATTGAAACAAATTTTACCACAATAATCCAAACTAGGGATGCATTTCAAAGAAACAAATTTAGAGCTCCGCCTACTGAATATTGAAAAACAAATCATTTTTCTGAAGGCGAAAAAAGAAAAAAAAAAATAGAAAAATACTAACCTTCTAAAACCGCACAAAACTATTTAGAAGGAACAAAAAGAAAAAGCAAAATCAGAAAAGGACCTTGGAAATGCAGGGATCGAACGCTTGCAGAATCAGATCGCGAGAAATTATGCAATGAAGGGCCCAGATTCAGTTCATACAATCCCCTCCATTTATTCATTAAAAGGAGCAAATTTAAACCAGCGCCATCTTCTCCGGCACCTTGATCAGAACTCGGGAGAACGAGACATATGATAGCAGCAAAATTCTTACAGGAAAAAGGGCTTTCTCCCCTGCAAAGTTTTCAAGCTATATGGCTGTGAGTAGTATTAAATCCTTGCAAGTATTAACCGGATTGGTTTTTTATCTTATACAAAGATAAGAAAATTAAATATGACAAGAATGAAAAAGAATGATCCTTTTTAGCAGATTTTGTGTATTACTTTATATAAAATAAAACCACATATCTCTTTTTTTTTCCAGATCTTGTGTTTATTTTTGTTTCAATTAAATATATATAATTTAATCAAGTGGGTGGGTCCAATTAAATTAGGATTTTTTATTTTTTTTTTTTGAACTAGTTAAACTGGGATTACCATCTCATGTTCGTGTAATTCTCCCTATATATTAATTTAGAACGAGCTGAACCTAAGTGGCAGGCTCGCATGCTTCGGGATTCTATGTGACAAAATTACATGCTTCCTTAGCCTTGGATAGATTTTAATTTACTTCCAAACAAAAAATAATTAGGTTCGGATTATCCATAAATATGTTGATTATTTATGGTTATGTTACATGTATTAATTGTATTTTAATATTATTTTTTATTATAACCATTGAATTGTAAATATATTTAAAAGTTAATAACTTTTGTGTTTTTTATTAGTTTTACATATATAATATATCAAATTAATCATATCTTGATGAGCTTCGATTTAACATCCATATTTTATGTATAAAAAAAATTATATTTATCTTTATAACAATAATATAATTATTTTTTAATATTCATTAAAAAAATAAAATTATTTATCAATTAATATATTTATATTTCAAGTAGTTATATGATATAAGTTATAAAAATTACTATAATATAACACATATATATATTTTTTGTAAAAAAGTAGATAAAATTTAAAATATTTTTTCTCATTAATTTTAAAATTTTTTTTGATACCGAGGTTCCAGGCTTGCGCTTGACTAGTTCTCGAGGAAACAGCCCCCGGTCCCTCAGAAACTGCCTCCAGTTAAGGTAGCCACGCAATGGCTCCCAAGTTCATACCCTCAACTACCGCGCACAAGAAGTCGATCCCCAAATGATTGTTCGCTGGCCCTCCCATCTCCAAGTTGGCCCCACATATCCAGCAGCTGGTTCCCACCGAGTTTCAGCCTCTCACACTGCCGCTTGCAGTCCTCAGTATTAATTGTTTTACCATTGCGCTCTGGGGGGCTTGAACCCTTGACCTCATGTCAATGGTGCCTCACTCTTATGTTAGTGTTATATACTGAAAGTTTGGCTTTGCATGTTATTACGCATTTACCCTTTATGAATGAGAATCATGTTAGATTAAACAAGTTCTACGTTCTGTTGTTCTGCACTTAGATAGGGTGGGTCCTCATCGGGCGAACCAAAGATCACTCTATCAGTCACTTGCGAACAAGAATAGTTATTCAAAACCTAGATGGACATGAACGAGATCCGTTGCGCATAGGTTTACGTTTGCTATTGAATTCGTGACTTGTACATAACGAGATCCTCACAGATCCCAACAAGTGGTATCAGAGCACTTGGTTAATTCATTTTGTACAAAGTTCGAATTTTTACGGCTCTATTTGACAAGATGTGTTAAAACGCAATTTGCAGGATAAATGGTTAATCCACTATTATGGCCGATTATGTGTTTGATGAATGTTGTTGAATGTGATGTATGGTTTTAAATTTGTTTTTAAAGCCTCGGGCATGTCGAGGAATTTATGGATGAATGTTTGTAATAATTATTCGCCTGGGGGTTGACCGGATAGATTTAATTATTTGTTTAGAAAACATGTACATCCATTCGTTGGATCTAGGATAGAATTATGTAATTTTGTAAATTATATTTTTCGTGTTGTGATCGTGTGTTGATGACCGGGAGATCACAAGAGATCAACGAGCCTCGAAGAATAAAAAAAAAAGGAGAAAATTGGATTTCCAACCACCGGCGGGCGGCGGGCGGCGGCGGCTTGCAGGCAGGTGGAGAGGTTTTGTCTCGATGACCAAGCTATACAATATCAACCAGGATTCTACTGCTTAAAGGAGTTCCAGTTGAACAAGGAAAGAACTGTCACAGTTTTCTTGTTTAAGGAGACTCAATATTTAATGATCATAATAGTGAATTTATTTATTTATTTAATTAAATTTATTATGCCATTAAATTATTATTTATGCATGTTAATTAATTATGTTCTTGCATGGGATTAATTTAGTATTACAAGATTAATTATGCATGTTAATTAATTATGTAATGCATAGGATTAATTTAGAATTGTGTCAATAAATTATGCATGTTAATTAATTATTGCATTGGCATAGATTAATTTTGAATTGCATAAATTATTGAACATGTTAATTAATTATTGCATTGACATAGATTAATTTAGAATTGCATGAACTAATATGCATGTTTATTAATTATTGCATTAACATAGATTAATTTGGAATTGTATAAATAGTTCAAAATCCTCATTATAATAATACTAAGTTTGAGAAGGGATTTTAAATTAAAGTTAATTGTAAAATTCCTAAGGCCTCCATTTCTAATTTGTCGGTAAATTAATTAATTGCGGTTATGGGCTCCCCCTCGGGTGACATTGCTAAAATTAATTGTAGAAAATTACCAGGACAAATTTCTAAAAGTAGACGGTTAGAGGAAATCTTATGAGAGCGTAAGGGCTTCCCCTCGGATGACGTATGATCAAATTTGACGACCTTAGGACCGAGAAATTGGATTCTCTTAGAATGCGATTGAATTTATTAACCCCCCTCGGGGTCCCTGAATTTTATTGCATGGTCAAATGGAGACCGACTATTAATTTCGTTTGTCATGAATTTGGTTTTGACTTATGGAAATTAATGGGCCTTAGAAAAGCCCTTCTCTTACAAAATGCGAGTTTGTAGGGCGACCCTCGTAGCATGCATTCTCACAAGGTGTAATAGATGTCGGTGGATTTAAGTTAGTGTTGTTTTGAGGATATCAATATTAAGAGTTAAATTCAAAAGTGTTTAATCTGTAAAATTTATGTGCAGGATTCTCAGAGTATTCATCATGTCGTTCAATCCGTTGTTAGTCATTCTAAAATAAAATCAGCTTACTGGTCCTAATTACATTGATTGGAAGAGGAACTTAGACATAGTGTTGACTGCTGAGGCTTATAAGTTTGCTATCACTAATGCTTGCCCGGCGGTGCAGGCGGCTGATGCTCCTGAGCAGGAGAAAGAGGAGTATGCTCGATGGAAGAAGGCTGATGAGATGGCGAAGTGTTACATTCTGGCTTCTATGTCGAATGTTCTTCAACATCAGCATCAGTCTAAGGACACTGCAGCAGATATACTTCTCAAGGCTTTGAGTGCTTTGATGAGTACGCGCATGGCCGAGGGCACACCCGTAAGGGAGCACGCCCTCAGGGTTATGGCGCAACTCAATGAGCTTGAGGTTATGGGAGGTTACATTGACGGGGAAACCCAGGTTGATATTATGCTTCAATCTCTGCCGAAGAGTTTTGATCAGTTCTGATTGAACTACAACATGCACAAGATGCATATGGCTCTTCCAAAACTGCTTGCGGAGTTACAGTCGGCGGAGGCTTTATTCACTCAGGCACTTCAGGTGCTAGTCGCCGAGCAGGCTGGACCTTCCAGGCCTCACAAGGGCAGGAAGAGAAAGAAGTCTGCAAGAAATGTGAAGGCACATGATGCTCCGGTTTACCCACGACCGGCCCCTCAGGCCGTGGCAAAGAAACCGAAAGGAAGATGCCACAAGTGCAATAAGTCAGGACACTGGAAGGTCGACTGCCCTCTCCTCAAGAAAAGTAACTCTCTCGTTAATGTCGTAGAAACATGTTTAGCGGTTGTATCTACCAGAACCTGGTGTGTAGATACTGGAGCCATTGATCATGTCTGCAATTCTTTGCAGGGGTTCCAAGAAACCAAGCGACTTAGAGAGGGAGAGATCACCGTCTACATAGGCAATGCTACGAAAGTGGCGGCTGTTGCAGTAGGAGACGTTACTTTATCATTTGATAGTAGTAGTTTGGTTTTGAGAAATTGCCTTTGTGTTCCTAGCTTTAGAAAGAACCTTGTTTCAGTTTCTAAACTCGTTATGGATGGTTTTTCAGTTTCGTTTGATGACATGGTTATTATTCGTTTTGAAAATCGTTTCATATGTTGTGGTGCATTAGTTGGAAATTTGTATGTGCTCAAACCAAACTCTCCCACAGTGCAACATAATGAATTGAATAATGTCATAACTACATCTAAAAAGAGGAAGGAGTCTTCGCAGATGAATCAAGCATATCTGTGGCACCTTAGACTTGGGCAAATCAACCTTAAAAGGATTCAAAAGTTAGTGGCCAGTGGACATCTCGGTCCATTGGAAGAGCACTATCCAACTTGCGAATCCTGCCTGGAAGGTAAGATGGCTAAGAGGCCGTTTACTGTTCGCCTATATTTTTAAAGCTCGACCGCAAGTGTACGGCTTCGCTTGTAGTATGTGGCAAGCAAGGTCGTATCCCAAGAGACCAAATAATTATTGTACCAATTACTAGATTATGATAGTGTCAGTTTTATTTAGACGTCCGAATATGAGATGGATTACTAAACTAAGAAAATAAATCAAAGGAAATAAAGCAACAAGAGGAAACTAGCTAGAAAAACACGTAAGAATATGTATGATAACGATTGATTCTAAGACTTTGGTTTCAATTAATAGTTGGGTTCCTTCAAAAGTATTACAACCAATGTTTTCTTTATCTTCCCTATAAGATGATCACAAATTTAGCTTATCGTCTCTCTCAAGATCAACAAAACCGTAGATTAAATCACATATATTAGCGTCTCCACTCAACACATGCAATTCAACTCCAAATAGATTAAAAGATCTAACATCCTCACAACAACCTACTAATCTCTCGATTCAAGCAAGTAAATTGTGTCAAATATTAAAGACCTAACATTAAACTCATCTCTCGAATTATGAACAATATTGTCAAACATGTAAAAGCATTGATCAAGTGCTAAACATGAAATAAGAACAAAATATTTGAATAGGGTTCAAAAGAAACAATCAATTATAATAAATCATCCAAAAATCGCAACAAATTAATCTACTACCAAGTCTTAGAATCAAATAAACTAGTCAATCATGTTCGAATTCAAATACATAGACATATTAAAAATCAACATGATCAATAAAAGTTCAAAAGGAAAGAAGAAATAAAAACTAGGAATCTTGTAGATCTTCCAATCTCCTTGATCCCCTTGTGGTTGATCTTCTTTTTCTCCTCAATTGCTTCTTTTGTGTGTTTCCCAGCCTCTCCAATGTGTTCTCCCCTTTTTTGCCTCTCTAATTAGGTTAAATAGGCCTCCTCTTGTGTCCAAAAACTCCTCCTAGTCAAATTAGGTAAGTATTAAAATTCTGTTCCAGCGCGCGACACGGCCACACTGCCCGTGACACGGGCCGTGTCGCAGGTCGTGTCAAGTTCTAATCCTCGAAAGTCCCTGTTCACGTGACACGGTCGCCTGACACGGGCTTGGTGCCCGTGTCACCGTCCGTGTCACATCCCAGCACTCTCGTTTTTGTCCGATTCGCTCGTTTCTTCCATATTTCTCATCCGTGCATCAATCCATCATCATCTCGGGGGTCCTAGGTACTCACCATGCGCCTCAAATAGCCACAAGCTCTACAAATATGTGAAAATATCTACAAAACAAGCACGTGTAATACCTTTCCAACAAATAGAGAATTAAAGCACAAATATGCAATTTATACACCAATAATGCAATGACTAAGCTCTAGATACTCAATAAATATGGTGTAAAATCACACATGAACAAACCCCCAAACTTGAATCATTGATAGTCCCGATCAATGCATCAAACTCCTACCAACACACAAGAACAAACAATCACACTCTCAAAGTCAATCATACACATTCTCAATATGCCTCGGGCAAATAACATAACCAAGTTCCGAAATTTTTTAAATATAAAGAATGCTTCATCAAAATCATGGTTAATGCTATAATTCACAAACCTCACCGGATAAGTGTATACTCTCATTCTCAAAAGTGTATAGGGAAATAATCGCTCAAATCAATTCAATGTTGAAGAATTACCATAAGCATGCAAATCGTCAAATATCTCCACCACTCAATGTGCATGCTATTCATGAATCAGAAAGGACTTTCATTCGGTTGTAATATAGGCTCTTTGGTTAGGGTAGGAAAAATATGGATAAAGTGACGAAAACTTGAGCATCTAAAACTACAAAACATGAACTACACCAATTCATCACCTATCATTCATGATCAAGCTCAACAAAATCATTCCATAACCCATTTTCGATCAATACTCGCAAGCCATATAAGAGAATTCAACAATCAAACCCAACCGTCCTTTATTTGAGTCAATAATAAAATAGAAACAACTATACAAACATGTCTCTCTTTTTTTTTTTCTTTTTTTTTTTTCAATACCATTCAACTTCCACCATCAAATTATACCCCATTCATGTCTTCCCTCTATCCAAACCACAAACAATAACTCATCCTCGTCACATAATATAGTCCTAAATGCTCAAGTAAGGACAAGGAAAAATATAGATAAAGCTCAATATGTGGCATCCAAATAAAATAGGCAAAGGCTCAAAAGGGTTAACTAGGGGATAAAAATATCATTTGGTAAGCTAAACGGTTCAAAAGGCTCAAACAAAAATATGCCTTATATCATTTTCACAAATAGCACACACCATGTGGTCTCGATAAAGATACCAATGCAAGTTCTAGAATTCAAACACCAATGAACGATACACTCAACAATAAACATAAGGCTCAAAATCTCACAAAGGATCATATATTCATGAATTACAAGCATCAACCAATCATTCAAATTCACAATTCCATCAATTCTCAAATTCCATCACTTAGCACATTATGCCCGAATTATATATCAAACATGCACAAGAAACTCATCAAGGTAGATCAAAGTCAACCTCCCACAACTACTCAAATCCTAAGAAAGCAATAAACGTGCTAAAGCAATAAACCTAACATGCAACTACATGATATGCAAATGTAATGTGTTTCTTGAATCCTCTAAAATAACTCCCCCAAACTTGAATGAAATTCTATGAAACACAATGAGAGAAATAGAAATTCATAGCTAAGGATCAAGAAACACTCACATAACCTCACTGAGGTGGTGGGCCAAAATGGCCCTCATCCATGTGCCATTGGTGCATTTGACAAATCATCGCCATCATCTCACTTTGGTCCGCTCTCATCCCCATCATCTCATTCTCTAAGTTCGTCATCCTCGCTCCTAAGCTCAAAAGAGGAGAAAAAGCAAGCCTCTCGACTCCTTGAGTAGAGCTCTCCTGGATATCCATGTGATCATCCTCTTCATGGTCATAGGCTTCTTCCTCCTCAACACTCGGGTGCTCCTCAACTCTTTGCCGAACATTCCTTTGCGAGCCACCGACCGCCCGTCCAAATTCCGCTTGCACCTCATTGATGGCGAAGGAATGCGCCTCGCTTACCATCTTAATATTTGACACGTCGTTGACACTTGCGATTGTGGTCAAATGGGTGTTCGGTAATGGGAAGTGGTCATGAGCCCGTTGCAACAACAAATATCGGCCGGCTTCTTGGCGTACAAAATTCATGGTCTTGAGAGCCGCCATGTTAAGGGAAGGGGTCGCATTGATGGGAGTCATCGTGCTCAAGTCAACCCCACAATAAGTAGCAATGGGTGTGATCATGCCACCCACACAAATTTGGCCCGACTCCGAAATAGCCGCCTCCCATAAATGAGTCGCCACCCATTTCCCGGTAAGCCCGGGCCTATTCCTTAGCATGCACCAGATAGCCGTGAGCTCACGAAGAGAACATCCGCCCATCTCTCCTCGTGCAAAGATCGTGCTCGCAACGGCCTTTTGTGAATAACGCAACACGGGATTGCGGATAGAGGTTGCCTTCGCGGACTTTGGAATGAACCGCGGAGCGGGATTAGACGGTGTCCCGGCAATCAAATCCCAAGTGTCATGTGCATTAAAGGACGAGGGAATAGTCGGGTCTTCCGAGCCTCGATAAACCTCCTTCTCCAAGGTTTCTACGTCGAGCGTGTAGTCTCGATTGTTAAGTCGAAACTTCAATATCCGCACCATGTGGTCATACTCCGACTTCTCGACCTCCAAAGTACTAAGGAACTCCATAGTGATGCCGGCGTAGGTAGGCCATTTTTGCGTCATTAAGTACTCCCACCCGGCTCGTCGTATAAGCCTCCACACATCATCTTGTAGGCCAAGAGCTACAAGAGCCTCGTCATCCACATACCGGGTTGCTACCATACGCAAGTTCGACAATGTTTTCCACCTTTTCTTTTCCTCGGCCGTTTTCAATCGAACGTTAAAACTTCCCGGTTGAATTGCCGCATTCGGTATAACATTAGCATTCGATCCCCTTCCTCGGCCTCTACTTCCCGAACCTCTTCCACGATTCATCTTAACCTGAGACAAATAGACAACTAACCCAATTTAATCATACGATAAACGATTCCAATGTAACAATCACCTTAAACCTATAAAATCCAAGAAAAAGTGCTTCAATGCCTCAAAGCCACACAATCATCCTCTAAACACTTCAATTATCAATCCTAGCATCATGTCAAAGGACTTAGAGTATAATTTACACACAATTCAAGCACAAATCCAACAAGAACTCAAATTCAAAGGTGCCCACCACGTGTTCGACAATTTGCTCAAACCAACTTTTTCAATTAAACTCAACAAAACTAACACACAAGAACACCATAGCATCAATCAACACAAAAACTCCACATTACATGATAATTGCAACAAACACATACCGAAATTGTGGAGAAAATGTGAAATCCCGAGTTCAATTTCCTAGGAGAGTTCAAAGTCTAACTCAAGTCCAAAAAGCCCAAAAAATTGAACAATTATGGACTAGTGATGGTAAGTGAACTATTATGATGTAAATTTGAGGTGAAGAGGCTGTAAAATTTTGAGATTAGCAAAGAGGATTTGTGAGTTAGGGTTAGAGAAGGAAAAGGGCCGAAAATTTTGTGAAGAAAAGTGAGAGGGGAGTGTCATTTTAAAAACGCTGCTGTCGTGACACGGGCCATGACACGGTCACCTTGCCCGTGTCACCGTCCGTGTCACATCCCCCGGAACCAGCTACCTTGACACGGGTCATGACACGGTCACTTTCGCCCGTGTCGATGCCCGTGTCACATCCTTGGGCTGCTGCTGCTATTGCTATTTCGACACGGTCGATGACACGGTCATTCTGCCCGTGTCGTCTCCCGTGTCGCACCTCTGGGACCTTTTTTTTTTTCAAAAGAAAACTACTCTAAAACAAAATAAAATAAAATAAAATAACAAAAAGCGGTAAAACCGTTGGGTTGCCTCCCAACTAGCGCTAAGTTTAACGTCTTCAGCCAGACGCCTGTCAAATCGATCACGGTTCCTTCAAAGTCGTGTAGGACAACTTCTCATTTTGATGTGGATGAAAATAATGCTTGATTCGTTGTCCGTTGACTACAAAGGTCTCTCCATCTCGTGCAACCAATTCAACTGCTCCCGGCGGCAACACCTTCTTAATCACGAAAGGCCCCGACCATCTCGACTTCAATTTCCCAGGGAACAACTTCAATCGCGAGTTAAATAGAAGAACTTGTTGTCCCGGAACAAATTCTCTCTTGTGAATCATCCGGTCATGCCACCTCTTCGTTCGCTCCTTATAAATTCTCGCATTCTCATAACAATCATCTCGTCATTCCTCCAACTCATTAAGTTTAAGAAGCCTTTTTCTTTCCCGCTTCATGAAAATCGAGATTGATCTTCTTCACAGCCCATAATGCTCGATGCTCTAACTCAACCGGAAGATGACAAGACTTACCGAAAACAAGCATGTATGGTGATGATCCCAATGGAGTCTTATAGGCCGTGCGATAGGCCCAAAGTGCATCATCTAGCTTCAACGACCAATCCTTCCGATTTGTGCTAACCGTCTTCTCCAATATGTGCTTGATTTCTCGGTTCGCCACCTCCGCTTGTCCGTTTGCTTGTGGGTGATACGCTAAGGCAACTTTATGCTTGACGCCATACTTCGAAAGAAGTCTCTCCATCAACTTATTCACAAAGTGAGACCCCCCATCGCTAATTAAAGCTCTAGGGGTTCCAAACCGAGTAAAAATATTCTTCTTGAGAAACTGAAGAACAACAGCGGCATCATTGGTGTGTGACGGAATTGCCTCCACCCATTGGGAGACATACTCAACGGCAAGTAGAATATACTGGTGTCCACACGAGGAGGGAAAAGGACCCATGAAGTCAATCCCCCAAACATCGAACAATTCAACCTCTATCACGTTCGTCATAGGCATCTCATGCCGCCTCGAAATAGTACCCATCCGTTGGCATCGATCACATTGGGTCACAAAAATAAAGCACTCTTTATACAAGGTGGGCCAATAAAAACCACTTTGCAATACCTTCGTGGCGGTACGAGCGGACCCAAAATGGCCACCTGTCGGTGAAGAATGACACTGTTGAAGAATTCCATCCCACTCTTCTTGTGGAACACACCGTCGAATGATCATATCAGCACACCTCTTGAAGAGAAGAGGCTCATCCCACATATAGAACTTCACATCATGGAGGAATTTCTTCTTCTGATAAAACGATAAGTCCGGAGGTAAGACCCCGGCCACCAAATAGTTGACAATGTCGGCGTACCACGGAAATTTAGCCTCAGTCATTAGGAGCTGCTCGTCTGGGAACTCCTCTTTGATATCTCTCGAAGTGTCGTCCTCTTGCCGTTTATACTCAAGTCTCGACAAGTGGTCTGCTACCACATTCTCGCATCCTCGACGATCTCGAATCTCAACGTCAAATTCTTGCAATAAAAGAATCCACCGAATCAAGCGTGGCTTGGAATCCTTCTTGTCAAAAAGATACTTGATTGCCGCATGGTCTGTATGCACGATCGTCTTGGTCCCAATCAAATAGGCCCGGAATTTGTCAAATGCGTAGACAATGGCTAACATCTCTTTCTCTGTGGTAGTGTAATTTTGTTGGGCGCCATCAAGAGTCTTGCTCGCATAGTAAATGGCTCTGAAAAGTTTATCACGTCTTTGGCCCAACACTGCTCCAACAGCAAAATCACTCGCATCACACATGATCTCAAACGGTTGAGACCAATCGGGGACAACCAAAATAGGAGAGCCCACCAATGCCTTCTTTAGAGTCTCGAATGCCTGCCAACAATCAGCGGAAAAATTGAAAGCAATATCTTTTTCTAATAATTGACTCAAAGGCTTCGAAATTTTAGAAAAATCACGAATAAACCGTCTATAGAAGCCGGCATGCCCAAGAAAACTCCGAATAGCCTTTTCATTCGAGGGAGGTGGAAGCTTCTCAATAGCTGAAATCTTCGCCCGATCTACCTCCAATCATACAGATGAAACTTTGTGGCCCAAAACAATACCATCTCGTACCATAAAATGGCACTTCTCCCAGTTAAGGACTAAGTTAGTCTCTTCACATCTCTGCAGAACTAGAGTAAGATTATGCAAGCAAGAATCAAACGAGTCACCAAACACAGAAAAATCATCCATAAACACTTCCATAATATTCTCAATAAGACCGTGAAAAATTGCCATCATGCACCGTTGGAAAGTAGCAGGAGCATTACACAAACCAAATGGCATTCTACGAAATGCAAAAGTACCATAAGGACATGTGAAGGTGGTTTTCTCTTGGTCTTCCGGGGCGATCATAATTTGATTGTACCCCGAATAACCATCGAGAAAGCAATAATAGTCCATTCCTGCTAAACGATCCAACATTTGATCAATAAAGGGGAGGGGAAAATGATCTTTACGAGTTGCGGCATTTAATTTCCTATAGTCTATACAAATTCGTCAACCCGTTACTATCCTAGTTGAAATTAATTCCTCTTTCTCATCTTTCACTACTGTCATTCCTCCCTTTTTCGGTACCACTTGCACCGGGCTCACCCACTCACTATCAGAAATCGCAAATATAACCCCGGCATCTAACCATTTAAGTACTTCGTTCCTAACAACTTCTTGCATAACAGGGTTCAAGCGTCGTTGGTTCTGCACAGATGGTCTATAGTCGTCCTCTAATCTTATTTTATGCATGCAAAGCGATGGACTAATACCTTTAAGATCAGACATAGACCAACCTATAGTCGACTTATACGTGCGTAACACCCTCAACAGTTTATCTAATTGCTCAGAAGTTAGAGAAGATGATACAATTACCGGATATGTGCGATTATCACCCAAATATGCATATGTCAGATGATCAGGCAATGGTTTGAGGTCCATAATTGGTGCGTCGGGCTTTGAAGAACTTGATTCGGGTGAAACAGGGATGGACTGCGCATCTGACACGACCTCCGACACGACCTCTGACACGGCCCGGGCTTGAAGATCCGGGTCGTGTCGCCGTCCGTGTCGCAGAACCTGAGCTTGACAATCTGACACGGGCACGTGACACGGCCCGTGTCCCCGTCCGTGTCGCACCTGAAAATTCTGAGTTTCTTCCAGTTTCTTGACACGGTCATCTGACACGGGCTCCATGGCCGTGTCGTCGTCCGTGTCACCTCTGGCACGCCTGTTTTCATCTCTTTTGCTCTCGTTTTTGCTCTGCAAACTCAAGATCCCTTTCGACATTTTAACCTCCTGTGTAGAATCCAAAGAACACATGTATTCATATAAATTAGAATCATTCAACTCAAGCATCAAGTCATTAGGAGAACAAGATTTACTTAATCCATATTCCAACGAATCTCTACACAATGTATGATCAAGATGAGTCAATACACATGAATCTTTAGAGTCAAGAAAGTTACAATGCGCATTATTATCATGAAATTTCATAGCCTTATATATAGAGAATAAAACATGCTCATCATTAACACGCAAAGTAAGTTCTCCCTTTTTGACGTCAATCAAGGCGTCTCCCGTGGCTAAAAACGGTCTCCCTAGAATCAATGGCACTTCATTATCTTCATCCATGTCCAAAACGACAAAATCTACTGGAAATATGAATTTATCAATCTTGACAAGCACATCCTCCACGATCCCCTTTGGATATGTTATCGAGCGATCCGCTAATTGCAAGGTTACCGTGGATGGCTTCACTTCTCCCAATCCCAGCTTCCTAAAAATCGACAAAGGCATAAGATTAATACTCGCACCAAGATCACATAAAGCCTTACTAAAGAAAATGTTTTCTATAGTGCAAGGCACTGTAAAACTCCCGGGATCCTTCAGCTTCTGAGGTAATTTGCGTTGGAGAATCGCGCTACACTTTTCGGTCAAGTTCACTGTCTCATGCTCCTCAACTCGCCTCTTCTTAGACATCACATCCTTCAAGAATTTCGCATAATTTGGCATTTGTTCCAAGGCCTTTGCAAAAGGAATATTTATATGAATTTTCTTAAAGATATCCAAAAATTTAGCAAATTGAGC